GACGGCCATCCAGATCAATATGCCAGAACAGAGAATCCAGGAACAGACCCACAAGGTACACTCAGCTAATGAGTGGCAATTACAAAGCAACTCAATGGAGGAAGCACAGCCTTGGCACCAAACGCTGCCAGAGTCCCACAGTATTCACAGGCAAGAGAGAGAGAGAGAACCTTGATCTAAACCTCACACCTTATATGAAACTTAACTCAAAATGGAACATGAACTCAAATGTAACATGTAAATCAATAAAATGTGGAGGGGAGAATAAGAGCACAGGAGATAATCTTTGAAAAATATCTAGGGCAAGGCAAGGAGTTCTCCTGTTGTCATGCTTTTGACACCAAAAACACAACACATTTTTTAAAAAATGACACACTGGACCTCATTAAGATTCAAAACTTTTGCTTTGTAAAAGAACCTGTTAAGTGGATGAACATACAAACTGGAGAGAGGGAGAAAGTGTCCTGCTCTATTCATAAAAGTCCCAAACTACAAACAAGGCAGGTGCTCTTCAATGGGTAGATGACTAAATGAACTGTAGCCATCCGTACCATGGAATGCAACGAAAAGGAATAAAACACGGGCATGAGAAATAACTTGGATGAATTGCCAGGCGGTGATGCTGACTAAAAACAGCCCACACGAAAAGGTCACACATTGTACGATTCCATTTATGTGACATTCTTGTCATGACAGTGTTAGGGATGGAGAACAGACTGGGGCAGGGGTAGAGGTGGGAGGGAGGCGGAGCTGGCTGGGAAAGGCCAGCCCACGGGTGCCTCATGGCAATGGAACCCTTCTGTGGGTGCCTCGTGGCAATGGAACCCTTCTGTGGGTGCCTCGTGGCAATGGAACCCTTCTGTGGGTGCCTCGTGGCAGTGGAACCCTTCTGTGGGTGCCTCGTGGCAGTGGAACCCTTCTGTGGGTGCCTCGTGGCAATGGAACCCTTCTGTGGGCGCCTCGTGGCAATGGAACCCTTCTGTGGGCGCCTCGTGGCAATGGAACCCTTCTGTGGGTGCCTCGTGGCAATGGAACCCTTCTGTGGGTGCCTCGTGGCAATGGAACGCTTCTGTGGGTGCCTCGTGGCAATGGAACCCTTCTGTGGGTGCCTCGTGGCAATGGAACTCTTCTGTGCTTGGACTGCAGCAGTGGCATCATCCTGCTGTGATCTTCCACTGTAGTTTGTCAAGATTTTACCAACAGGGGTTTCTGCACAAAAGGCTCACAGAATGTCCCTGAATTATTTCTTACAACTGCACATGAATCTACAATTATCTTGAAAGAAAAAGGTTTAAAAAATTAATGAAAGCAAAAAGTATAGATAAAATGGAGCTAAAGTTTGTTTCGACTACAGAATATCTAAAATTCCCTTTCAAAAACTTAAAATACAAAAATAAGCTAAAAGATAGTCACAACATATACATCAGAACTGATTTCTGTAGATGCAAGAGAGCTTCTGAAAAATATGAAAATTCATCTCTCAAGAGAAAGACAGAGGCAAAGGATATAAATGGAAAGTTTACAAAATAAATGCAAATATTCAATGCTTATACAGAAAGAGTATCATCTCAGTAGAATTAATTAAAACAAAACATGAGTCTATTGTTAGCCAGCCAGATGAACCTTAAGTGTTCAAATGGCAGTGATGAGTTTCAGCAGAAAAATTCAATAAAATGCATGGAGAGCAACATTTCTGGTCGCCAGCTTGTCAATATTTATCTGGATTCTTAAAACATCATTCATTTAGCCAGCGGTTCTATGTCAGATAATTTATTTTCAATTATCGGAAATGAAACAAGGTTTTATCTGTAAAGATATTTATCACACCATAACAAGAAACAGCAAGGAACCTCAATGCCTCAGCGTAAAATAAACTGGGATATATCTGCTTGTTGTAGGCACAGCTATTTTGTTTTGGAAGGGACAATTAGTGTCCTGGTAAAATGCTCACAATAGAGTATAAAGAATAACAGGTAGGACACAGTGTGATTTAAAAGCCTTGTAAAAAAGAAATATGTAATCTATGGTAGGCAGGAGAAATGTATAAAAACACACCAAATTACGATCAGTGGCTATTTCTCGTAGCAAAATTATAGGCTACTTTTATATTTTATTATTTTACATATTTTCCATTAAATACTTATCTGCATCATGAGAGAAATGGTAATTTTTAAAAATATTCTGCACTGTATATCACAGGAAGCCACCTTTTGTGAAAGGAAATCTTTGAGTTAGGAAAGTCAAATTAGTTCATTTGCAATAGCAAATTAAGCAATTCATGCAAATAAAGGCCCTACCAAAATCAGTTAGCCATTCCCTGGGGGAAAAACTGCTCTGATTTCTGCACAGTGAAGGCCTGGCAAGAAGAATGGTCAGAGCTGGAAGAACTGGAACCAGGCAAAAACAAGGAAAGGACTCTGACCACTCACCCCTGACACACGCTCCCTCCAAGCAGATGTGTGGGATTCACAGGCTGGGACTACTGAGCTTTCGGGGAGACCACCAGCAGTCTTGCCCAAGCTTTCTGAGGCCATTGAGTTCCTGACTGCCATGCTGGCCGCTCACCATGGTAACTGCACTCACACACACGTGTGTGTCATACACTGCACACCAAATGCAAGACCTATGTGAAAAGTTCAGTGCACACATGCTTCACCCACTGGAGCTGCACCTCAGGCACTTTACAGGTCCCAGGTGGAGCGGACACAAACGCTTTCAGTCAGGCAGATGCCGTGGTTATATTCTGAAGTGATGCTCGGGAAAGATCAGACTGGGGTTGCCCTAAAAACCTTATTTTTAAAACAATACTAACACCAGCCTTCCCATGCCCACCAGTGAGACCAACTGGTGTTGCAAAAGGCCATGAGGTTTTCCTGCTCTCTGAAAGCCAGCCTAGGGGTTGTCAGGAAGTCGAGGGGCCAGTATGGTATGCTTGGCCAACCAAAGAAGAGATGGAAGACATGAGAACGACGGCCTTCCTGCACTGCAGAAGTCAGGAGGCAGAGCTGGCAGGGAGGAGGAACTGAGTCTCCTGCTGCCAGTCACTCAGCGCGCTTGTCTCTGACCCCCTCTCTCAGCTGTGCTCTGGGTCTGATCCTCATCAACCATGGGGCAAACATGAGAAGCTGTCAGTGTGTGGCACGCCACCCTGCAAAGGCCACTGCTGTATTTGCTGTAATAAATGTTGTTCTAGTTAAGATAATTCTTGTTTAGCTGACAGGAGGATTCCTTTTAAGCTCAGCAGAGGCAGATGAGAGTCCAAACAAAAAGAAGCTGGTCAGGCATTAAGTTCTGAACCCTGTCCCTCAGCGGCAGGGTCAACAGTGTGCCCAGAGTCCCACCGGGAGATGTACATTCAGTGTCCCGAGGCTCACACCCACATCACTCGGGAGTGTCACTCAAATGAATGCCTCAGCAACATTACCAATACTAAGTTCTTACAAACTATGGAAATGGCCAATATAAAAAGTCTTGCAAAGCCAGTGTGCTAGTGTTGAAAGAGCGTGCTGTGCATCCTCACCTGGGCATGACGGCCAGGGTTCTGTTCCCAAGCCAGCCCCAGGTGGCAGTACCTAGCACAGAGACTTCTGCCTCCACTGGCTACAGGGTTCTCTGCCACTCAGCCAAAGCTGGGGTTCCAAATCTTTACCCGGGGCTGGTTCTTAGAACCATCATCACCCATACACCCAGTGCAAGTGTACAAAGAACTCCACAGAAACCTTGCTCAACACCAAACGAATGAAGTTCATTTTAACAGCGCCATGTGACATGGGCTTCCAGTTTCCGTTCTGCCCACTCACCTGTTTCCAATGTGCAGTGTGCCCTTCACACACAGGCGTGCTGGTAATCAGGGCCCCAGCGTGTACTCAGCTCCTCCTAGAGCAGGCTCTCCTCTGAAGGTACCTACCGCACTCCCCCACTGAAGGCCTTGTCTCTGCGCAGCCCTCTTTAGAGATGCGCACACAAGAGAGTGATGCCGCTGCCAGGCCTCCCCCAGCTGACCACCCTGGCTTCAGTCTACAGCATTACTAGGCCTTTGCTAGCAGGGACTATACAGTCCAGTAGGGGAAGGTCAGACCCGATATGTGCCGTCCTCATGGACAGTCAGGGCACAAGTTCCATTGGGACTTTCAAGAGGACAGCCACATGAGATAGCTGGCAGGCCCACAGCCATTTCCTGACCCCCTGCCTCAACCCGAGTCACTCAGAATGTGTGACCCATCCTCTGTGTTATGGAGCTAATTTCAGTAATACACTTTTTTCTTTTTTTCGAGATGGAGTCTCACTCTTTTGCCCAGGCTGGAATGCAGTGGCGTGATCATCTCAGCTCACTGCAACCTCCACCTCCTGGGTTCAAACGATTCTCCTGCCTCGGCCTCCTGAGTAGCTGGGATTACAGGTGCATGCCACCACGCCCAGCTAATTTTTGCATTTTAGTAGAGATAGGGTTTCACCATATTGGTCAGGCTGGTCTTGAACTCCTGACCTCGTGATCCGCCCACCTCGGCCTCTCAAAGTGCTGGGATGACAAGCACGAGTCACTAAACTGGGCCTTTTTTTCGTTTTTTTTTTTTTTTTTTTGAGACAGTCTCACTCTCTCACCAAGGCTAGAGTGTAGTGGTGTGATCTCAGCTCACTGCAACCTTCCCCTCCCAGCTTCAAACTGGGAGTCCTCCCAAGTAGCTGGGACTACAGGCACATGCTGCCATGACCGGCTAATATTTTGTGTGTATTTTAGTAGAGACAGGGTTTCACCATTGGTCAGGCTGATCTCAAACTCGAGAGCTCAGTGTGCCCACCTCGGCCTCCCAAAGTGCTAGGATTACAGGCATGAGCCACTAGCAATAAATTTTTAATGTATTTTTTTCTGAGCTAATCTCAACTATACCAATCTCTCTATTTACAAAAAATATGCTTATCTTAGTGTTTAATGCACTATTTATTAAGTAAGCTTAGAAACTAGACAGTTTAACAGAAATTTAAAGTGAGTTTAAAAGTACCTGAAAAATTCCATGAAGGAGAACCCGTATCCGTGCTGTTCTGCAATGCCTGCACACACGACGTTTGCCGATGCGCCAATCAGTGTCCCGTTACCTAAAGTCGAAATTTAAAAACAAAACCCCAGTTGATATTGGTGGTAAGCTTCTGTTCTCTTTGGTTTGTAAAATTTTTATCATCTCACAGGATTTGATTTGATGATTACAGTCAAAGTGACTGCTCTATAAATATCTGGAAACATACACACACACACACATAACAGCAGAAAATAAGCTGTTTGCAAAAACCACGATTCATTTCTGGATAAGACCACGGCTGTCGTACATAATAGAGAGGAGGAATGCTAAGGAGAATGGGAAAGTCACTGTGGGATCGTGTGTCTTTCAGAGGAGGATGCAAGCAGGGCCAGCAATCCAAGTAGGAACCTGTGTCCCTCGGGAATGCAGTCTCAGACAGAAACCACCTTCCTCTGGACCCCAGGCCCAGACACTAGGAAACCCTTTCAGTGGATGAACGGATAGATAAAAACAGCCAGGTGAAACCCCATCCCTTGACATCTTCGCCAACGGTATCTCCTTGACATGAAACGGCTCTCTGGGTAAGCTTTTGCGACTGTGCCCATGACAGGGACATGCTGTGCTTGCACATCTGTGTGCCATCCTTGCGGCTGGTGAGGAATAGGGCTAAGGAAGTCACCACTCGGGTCATCAGATTCACCCCACACACACTCACACCCACACGCAGGGAGTGCCCAGGAGCCTCCTCCATACACTCTGGACATCAGATTCACCCCACACACACTCACACCCACACCCAGGGAAGGCCCAGGAACCTCCTTTGTCCCTCACAGCCATCGTGGGCAGTGTTCATGGACAGGCACATGACACAGGCTCAGCCGGTTCAGCTGAGCCCTGACGTCTCTGCACACACACTGAGGAAGAGTTGTCTGTGTCTCCATCTCCCCCTACTTTTATGTAGGATTGGTGAACAGTGAGACCCTGCCCTGGAGCTGCTGACAGCATGTCAGTGAGGGGAAGCAACCTTTCTGAGACTGAAAAACATGAATAACAGAGCAGGTGGAGGCCCCACATGTGCCAGGCAGTGAGCCAGGAAGTGGTGAGGCCCAACCGTGAACCATCCTAGTCCAGAGGAAGATCGAGGGGTGGGGCTCAGGCTGCCCCAAGCCACCCTCAGTTGTTCTCTTTCTCTCTCAGTCTCTCCGTAAGCAGTGGAGGGACAAGTGGGTCAGCTAGAAGTGGAGACGCTAACCTAAGAGTGGGAAGAATGATTAAAGGATTTTTCTGGGCGAGGGGTGGGCCTTGTACTTTGGAGACAGCCACACAGAGTGTCTGAAGGGCCCAGGGCAGCAGTGAGGTTCTTTGGGGCAGACCCCTCTGGGCACTGCTGCACCTAAGTGTCCATCCCACCATCCTGCCTGCCAAACCTGCTCCTTCCCCAGCCAGAAGACCTGCCCAATGAGACTCCACCGCCTTGCCAAGCCATCATGCATGGCCATCATTTTTCTCTGTCTGACAAGTCTCTTCCCACAGAGAAGCCCAGGGTCCTCAGCAGGCCTGGCCTGCTCGGCCCCCATGAAGGCACCTGGCTGCCAGGACAGCATCAGCCTGCCCCCTAAACACTGACCACTCCAGGATGCCACGAACAGGGCCTGGCCCACGGTCCAAGTTCACATTCCACAACTTGTGTGAGTGCTAAAAATAAAAACCTACACTGACGTTCTCTCCTGTTAAGGATTAGTGATTGGAAAATGCTGCTTTCCAATCAGAATGACAGTTGTGCAGCCCAGTACTGCCCAGATGGAGAACATCTCATCCTGTCTGCCGTGGGCATGGACTCCCGACGGGTGAGGGGCCACTTTCCGTGTCCTTCTCCACATTGCTGAGATGAGCTGCTCAGGAGGCTGTTTTGGTCCTGAGCTCTTCTGGACTCAGGGAAAGGAATGGGGAGGAGGAAAGGATGCTGAAGAATCTGCCAGGCAGAGGGTCTGCGTGCCACCTGGGGACTACCTGAGGAAGGTCGGGCAAGGATGGGGGGCATGTAGGGAGCCCTTTCCTTGGAAGAGGAGATGCGGCTGGGATCACATGAGGGCAGGGCTGGCTTCTATCATGGGGTGACTGCTGAGCCTTTAGACATCAGACATCTACCCACCTTCTCAGGAGTGTCTGTGGGTGATACCGCAGGGGCTGCTCTCCCCTGTACCCGGATATTGCCGAAGCACCTGCCTCCCTCTCCGAGGGTCCTCCTTCTCAGCCACCTCCTTGCAGAAGTCCTTTGACCTGCTCACAGACTCACTGCCTAGCAGGCAGGACATCCACTCATTAAGTTGCATGGAGCCCTGTTTCTTTAAAGGATGCTTTATGGACAACAGAAACCTGATGAACAGCACTTATACACACAGGGCAACCACCCACTCCCTGGTAAAGAGAATCCCGGAGGGAGAGGGCAGGGAGCTGGTCCTAGGCCTACTGCAGTCAGGCAGGTCTCCACTGTTCCTGGCCTCACCCTCCCCTCACAGGATGGCTTCCCAACCATACCTAAAGCAGGAGGGCAGGGAGGAGAACTGGCGCCAACACGTTTTGATGACGAAGGCAAAGGCTACGGCAAAGCTCCTGCACAGGCACCTCCTGTCTTATTGGTCAGCAAAATGAGACAAGCAAGGCTGGTACCAAAGCAGAGAGGGGGTCAGAGACAGGAGGCCCTGGAGAGGGGGCCACAGGGAGGAGGCCCTGGAGAGGGGGCCACAGAGAGGGGGCCACAAAGAGGAGGCCCTGGAGACGGGGCCACAGAGAGGATGCCCTGGAGAGGGGGCTATGGAGAGGGGGCCACAGAGGAGGCCACGGAGAGGATGCCCTGGAGAGGGGGCCACAGAGAGGAGGCCCTGGAGATAGGGCCACAGAGAGGAGGCCACGGAGAGGGGGCCACAGAGAGGAGGGCACAGAGAGGGGGCCACAGAACAGAGGCCACAGAGAGGAGGCCACAGAGAGAGGCTGGGAGGTTACGGATTACCCCTGGCAGGTCCTACACAGAGTGTGTCAGCCAGTGCGACAGACAAAATGCTAGATCTAAGTTCAGAAGACCTCAGTTGAAGTCTCAAGCCTTCTAAACTCTGTAAGCTGAGTAAATCACAGACTGTTTCTGTTATATTAACTGAGGTGTTTGTGATAGTCGGGAAAGGAAGATGCAAAACCAGACGGTGTCAGCTGTAGGGCGCATTTGTCTCCTGGTGACAGGCAGTCCCATGTGGAGCGACCTCCACCTTCCAGGTTCAAGTCATTCTCCTGCCTCAGCCTCCCGAGTAGCTGGGACTGCAGGCACATGCCACCTTGCCCAGCTAATTTTCATATTTTCGTAGTGTCAGGGTTTCACCATGTTGGTCAGGCTGGTGTTGAACTCCTGACCTCGTGATCTGCCTGCAGGGTTCTGTGGCACCATCAGCACCTGCTCCCTGCACCTGTGTGCTCTGCTGTCTGCCAACAACACGCTGAGCCAGCCCACACTTGGGCTGCAGACGCTACAGGCATCTCCTCACCGCGCATCCAGGCATGGCCATGGCAGGAGGGAGTGCGATCCCCATGAATACTGAGGTTTGGTCTCAGGGCCAGGAAAACCATGATCAGAAGCTCCTCCCTCTCCCACAGAAGACATCCCCTCATGTCACCTGGACTCCACATGGCTTTGGTCTGCCCATCCCTATGAGCTGGGACCAGAAACCCAGCTGCCCATCCCTGCCTGTCACGGGCTGGGGCAGAGATGTAGGGAGTCCGCTTCCTCTGTTTATGAGGACTGTCACCAGCTTCTCCACCTTCTCCAGCTTCTCCTGGGTTAGTTGTGAAGTTTGCACAAGAGTAAGAATATGAGATGCCACATTCAGATGCCAGTGACATTGCAGTCACTTATTAAGAGGCTAGCACAGTTTTCCGGGTATTCCACGTGGCATGGGCTCCACATGGTGGGGAGGACAAGGCCCCAGGTGTCACTTCCCCCGCTCAAACCTCCCTCCCAGTTTCCAGTGACGGAGAAGCACAGGGGTCGGGCCTCCACATGAACAGCTCTGCCTGTCCTGGCACACTCGGGCCAACCAGTGTGGAAAGAAGGCGTGTGGATCCAGAGGCAGAACAGCAACAGTTTTCAAAACCATGCCCCGCTCTGTTTTTGATGAACGTTGCACACAAAGAATCGAATCTCCAGGGTAATTCCCTGTGTCTGCAGTGTACATTCCACTAAATAGGCCACACTCTCAGAGCTGTGAGATATCCCACTTGTCAGAACACATGTAAATTAACTCTATGCATGGGCATTCCCTTTGGCGAGTTGAAGAGCCACCAGCCCTTCAAGAGCTGGATATAACCTAAGGAAAGCAGCAGCCTTAGGGTGCAAACACAGCTGCATGCCGCCTGGGTTGGTGTGAACACAGCCATGTGCCATCTGGGTCGGTGTGAACACAGCCATGTGCCACCTGGGTCGGTGTGAACACAGCCGCGGGCTGCCTGGGTTGGTTGAACACAGCTGCAGTCAGTGTGAACACTGCCACGTGCCGCCTGGGTCAGTGTGAACATAGCCACGTGCCATCTGGGTCGGTGTGAACACAGCCGCGGGCCTCCTGGGTTGCCCTCAGCCCCCAGGTCCCTGCAGCAGGGTAGCCTTCTTCACTCTCCACACTCACTTTACTTCCTCCTCGCAGGTTTTCGGCCCTAGCCTTACACCTGCCAGTAATACCTTGGCTCGTGCACTTGCCACCGCCTCTGCTTTCCAGGGAATTCAGGCCAAGGCAGGTTTTTCTGAAGACTTATTTAAACTGTTCTTAGCACTTCGTGAAAAGAGCAACCAAAAAGTACTGGGTCAGACCAGTTAAAAAATTTTTTTCTAAGTATCCAGTGAATCATGTCCAATTCATAAAGCAAATGACATTTCTAAAAACCAAATGAAAACCTCTATTTAAAGTGTTCTTCAGAATGCCGGCCCTGGAAGAGTGGGAGGCTGGTGTTTGCGTCATGCGGACAGAGCTTCAGGCTGGGATGGTGAAAAGAGCTCTGCAGATGAACGGTGGTGACGGCTGCACACCCGTTCCTCGGCTGTAATGTCCCTAATGCCACCGAGCTGTGCACTTACACACAGTTAAGACGGTAAATTTTATTTACATATATTTTATCGTCATTTCTGTAAAATCCCAAACCTTGAGTCAATGAGAAAGGTCCCTGAGGGAGTAAGTTGCCATGCCAGACACAGGTGCCTTTCAATCACCAGAGCTACCAGATTAAACGATCCCAACACATAATTAAAACATTCATTATTCGCTGCATTTCTGCTTCCAAAATCTGCTGTTACTAAGTATTTAATCCTATTTTAGGAATTAGCCTATAAATGGTGCACATTAACATCTCTCCTAGAGAAGGCTCCTCCATATTCATCCTACATGTTTTGGGGAAATCCAAACTAGCTCAAGATGCCTCTCACTCTGTATGACCTGGCTTCAAACTTCCCGTTCTGCAGAACCTCCTCTGACATCTCAGGTCTCCACTCAGGGCACACCATCATTACAGGATGTGTCCCTCTGTGCCGTAACCTTAGTTGAGGTGACCATCTTCCCCACTCAACAGCAGGGAGGTGAATTCACTGTCCGGTCCAATGTCAGGTAATGGCAGATGCCCAGCAAGTTCAAATGGGCAAAATCCTCACAGGGGATGCATTTCCAGGCCTCCTCGGATCCCGTTCCTTATTGTTGGTGTTAAACATAGCTCTGCATTGCCTCCCTGGGACCGGTTCTTAGACAGGGGTGATTTTAATAGTTCTACACCCTTGGAAGAACTTGAGTTGATGAGTTCTTCCAAGGGTGTAGAACTAATTCTTCCAAGAACTACAGTGATGTAGATGAGTTATCTGTCTGCTGCATTACAGAAACTTCACTGTATGACATTAATCCCCCTTTTCAGCCAAGGAGATAAACTAACCAGAGAGTTATTGATTTAGTAGTCAGAAATCAATCAGAGAACAAAGAAAGCTAAATTATCTATGCATGCATGGATATAAGAATAAAAACTTAAAATGTGTCTGATGTGTTGGTCTAAGATTCTTCTCAATCTCTCTGCATTCCCAAAGGTGATCAGGCTTCTGAGATGTGAGAAGGACCCCACCCCCACAGGCCCCACAGCTCTCTACAAGGCGATCACATCCACCCCCCTCCCCACAGCCCCCACAGCTCTCTGCAAGGCAACTGCATCCACAACCCCGAGTCTGGTCACCAGTCTCTCCCAGTGCGCTCTCTAATCCACTTCTCACTGTCTCCAAAGCACAATCCCACCCCCTGCCCAGAAAAATCCTCTAATCTTTCTTCCCACTCTCAGGTTAGAGTCTCCACTTCCAGCTGACCCACCTGTCCCTCCACTGCTTACAAAGAGACTAAGAGAGAAAGAGAACAGCAGCTGAGAGTAGCTTCTGATTCAAAATCTGTCTCTAACCCCAAGCACGGCCCATACGGGCACAGGATGGGAGCACATCAGCTGTGAGGCATCAGAACTAGGCATCCTCCCGCCCCAGGCCCAGGAAGTCAGAGGCAGTTCTGCACAGAATGGAAAGGAACAGAGTTGCTCTGGATTTGCTCCATCACAGCTGAAGACTTGTGTCCACTCGGGAAATCATCTGGACTCTCCTTCATCTGCTTTTGATTTGATACACACTAACGGTTGGTTTTGGCTGGACAGTGTGGATGTGCAGCCCCCCACGAGGTCAGCAGCCCCTTACCTCCCAGGCAGGCACCGAAGGCCAGGGCATACATGAGCGGCGGAGCGGGCAGGCCGACCTCAGGGTCCTGGCTGAGGTTCAGAAGCACGGGAATCTGTGGAGGAAAATGACATTGATGTCACAGCTCAGAGTAGCTGCCATCCTGTGACCACTTTAGAAGACCCAAATGCTTTCTGCGCATTCAAACTCTAAGGAGTGTAGGATTTGTGAACAGCAAACTTTGGAATCCATGGAAACTTGAGTTTGAACTCATCTGTATGTCATTGACGCCAGCTGCCACCAACTGGGCCTCCTGGTCCTGAGCCTCACCAGCTGTTGTGGCTCTTAAATGGGGCAAAGGCGCAGAGAGTCTAACACAGGGCTTGAGAACACGGCCATCAAGTCAGAGCTCACAGAACCCTGCAGATGCTACACTAACTACACGCACACCATCTTGCTGAATCCTCAGACATCCCTCAAGTGTGCTGTTGCTCCTTCAGTTGACAGATGACAAGACCAGAATGCAGAGAGACATGGGAGCACAGACCTTGGAAGCAGCCCAGCCAGAACTCACACACAGGTCTCTGACCCCAAACTGCATGCTGGGTCCCCTGTGCCAAGCTACTTCTCACGGCTGCTCCCTGACAGGCACCCTGAGCCTGCTGACATTCACAGCATGACAAAAGGGATCAGATTCTACAACCAGGAAACAGCATTCTCTAGCCAGCCATGCCAGCCTCTGGTGCACCTTTCTGACTTTGATACATTTTGCATTATTGTCATCAATGAAACACAGTGGCTGGGAAATTTCTATTAGAACTTTGTGTTCAAAGGAGCAGGGAAGGACAGAGCCATGAAGCCTGCCTCCAGAAGGCTGCAGAGAATGGAGGGCTGTGTGGTCCCCGCAGACACCTCAGTGAGCCCATGGCGTGTGAAGGAGAGACCCTGGGCCCGCTGCCGCAGGCAGTTACCTGTATCAGCCTCTCTAAGGGTGGCTGATCTGGAAAATATGACACAAGAAAAACACAAACAGAAAGCCCCAGCGCAGAGATGTGAGTGATGGCAATATTATCTGACCCTAGAATTAGGGGGCAAGAAGGTGGGGGCTCCATCCCCTGATGTCTCGAAGGAGATGCCTCATGGCTCACTTCAGAATATGCATCCACTCTCAGCTCCTGGGCGCTGCAGGAGGCTTTCGTGTGTGTGCCCTTGGCAGCATCCAGATGGGGGAGGTGGAGCCTCCTCACCACCGGATTCTGAGCTTGGCCAGTGGCTTCCTTTGACCAATGGAAGGTAGGTGGGCTGGACAGATCCTGTGTTTCTGCATGCCCCTGATACTCCATCAGCCTCTCAGCCACAGAAGAACACAGAGCCGAGGCGCTGCTGCTGCCCTGGGGAGTCTCCACTGGGAGGACATGTGGAGAAGGTCTCCCCAGCCCCCACGGAGTCCACACTGGGAAGCTGCAGCCAAGCCACACACCCACGTGCCTCCACTGTACGCATCTCCATGGCCCTGGGTCTGCTTCTCCAGAGTTGCCTTGTAGGGTCTGAGAAGGAGCTCTTTATATTTCCTGGGTCACAGGGGCAGGTTGAAAAGCTCAATTTTTCATTGTCAGTAGCATCAAATACATGCTGGAAGAGAGTAAGTACCATGCTAGGAAAAGCATCTGATTCTGCATCTGTCAATCTCATGCAGAATCAGAAACTCCTGGCACTGGGGTGTTCCCATGCAGTCCCTGAGGCACTTTCCAAGCTCGGCTTTTGTCTGATGATTTACCCGATCATCATAGAGGCACCTTCAGACTTGATGGTTCATTCTTTGAGGGAGCGAGCGGTGTGCAACTTCCCACAAATTCCAGTCGTCAATGAGCAGAGCTAACGCACAATGTCACTGTGAGGCCCCGGTCCCCTGGGCACTGAGCACCATGCTGTCAGTGCAAAGCCAGCCTCCACCTGCAGGACTGCACACACCACCCAAAACAAGGAGACAGCATCGGAACAACTCACCGCAGGAGGTATCAACGGAGGAAGCCGTGTCTCCAAGCTTTGTGACCTGGAAATTCCAGCACATGCTCCTGTGCAATGAGGTCCATCGCCCAGGCAAGAGAAAACCTACTTCATATTCCAAACTGCATACTTACAAGTGCTAGATTCTGTTACAGGCTGCAAAAAGTATGCTATGACACTGCTTTCAAAGCAAGCCCTCTCTGGGGTTTGCAATTCAGATGAGAACCAGCTCCCTATACTCCAGAGTCCAAACATCTCCCCAAAGCTCTGTGGCCTGTCCTCCCAGGCCCTGCCTTGATTGATCGAACTCTCCTTCCCACAACATAAATGCAATGATGGCTCGCTGGCCTCACATTCACCATTTGCCCCTTTAATTCTGTCCACCATGCCACCAGCCATGACCTTTCTGTCTCTGAAGTCTGCCCATGCAACTGACCTGACTCTACTCCCTCCGATCTGAGGCTCTCTCACCAGGTTTCCTCTGCCTCATACTTGTTATTGACCTGAGCACCCGCCACCTGCCACTTCTCTGCAGTTGCCCATGCCCACGTCTCCACCAGGCACATGGTCACTGTTGCCCTCACGCAGCCTCCTGCTCAGCCCCTAAGAGCCTTGGGCATCTCTCCTCTGAGAGCCTCCCTGAGCTCCCCAATATGGCTGCCATATTATAACATACTATGCCCAGAGGTTACTTCCATGATTGCATTTAACTCACTTCTCCCTCCTCCACTAGATGGGACCATGTTGTCTTGTCCATGCTCATTTATTGTTAATTCAGTCAATAATTATTCATGAATATTCTACTTTGTGTCTGGTTCTGCTCTAGATACAGGGGACAAAAGAGAAGACGCAAAAATCCCTGCCCTCACAGAGCTTGCATTAGAGAGAGAGAAAATTTTAAAACCAGCATATGATGGCACAGAAGGAATCCACCTCTGCCTATAGGATGACTGAACTGGCAGGAACTGTCAGAAGCTACTGCATGAGCTCCCTGCCGCTGCTTTCACGAAGCACCATGAGCTGGGTACTGAAACAACTAGACGTTATTGCCACACGGATCCGAATGTGAGGCGCCTGAACAGGTGCTGGCCTGGCCATGCTCACTGACGGCTCTAGGGGAGGGCCCCTCCTTGCTGCTCTGGTGTCTGTGGCAGTCCTGGGTATCCTTAGCTTGTGGGTGCATCACTCCAGCCACACTGGAGCCTTCGTCCTGCCTGTGTCTGTGCCAAGATTTCCCCTTTTTGTAAAAACACTGGTCATATTGGATGAGGGCAATTTAAACTTGATTATCTCTTTAAAGGCCCTATTTTCATAGAAGGTTACATTCTACAGTACCCAGGGTCGGGACCTCAGTATATCTTTTGGGGAGACAATTCAATTCAAAATAGTAACTATGTTGGAAGTCCAGAGTGTAGTCGAACACTTTCAGCAACCAGGGGAAAAAGTGATAAGGAGCGTTTTGGTGAGTCTGTGGCCTTTGTTTTTATAGTGGTTGTCATTCTCCATCTCTCTCCCTGTGTCGGGAAGCTGTGGGGACGGCAGCTCATGTTTACGATATGACTTGCTGATATCAGAGTGGGCAGTGATGGCCTCGTCCTCCAATAACCCAGGTTGTATATGTTGATGCCCAGCCACTGTTTTAGTCACTGGCCATTGTTTCAACCTCCAAGTGAAGAAGCAGCTTCCAGGGAATTTAAAGAGGCAGTAATTATTTCTATGCACACAGACACACACACACACACACCACACACACACCACACACACACACACACACACACACACACACAGACACACACAGAGATACCTTTTGGAGACCAGAAATTCAAGGAAATGTTGTCAGTCTACTAGTTGACTGTAGAGATAACAGAAGAAAAACTTTAATGACCACACACGTTTCAAAAAAAGTTTGGAAAAGTCACAAATGAATGGCTCCAGCACTCACCAAGCAAGACTCGACAGTATCTGAGGAATGGGAGAATTACATCTCTAGCATTACCACATATGACACTCACAATGTCCGGCTCTCAGCAAAGAAGATCACACAACATACAAACAAATAGGAAAGTGTGGCCCATTCACAGGGGAAAAAAAATTGACAGAAATCACCGCTGAAAAGGTCTGGGCATTCGAATTATTAGTCAGAGATGCTAATTCAGCTGTCTCAAAGAGGCTCAATAACTAAAAAAAACCATGGGAAGAGAGTTAAAGGAAATCAAGAAAATGATACACAGAAAAAATTTAAATATCACTACAGAGATAAAAATTATAAAGAAGAATCAAATAAAAATTCTAACTTGAAAGGTATAATAACTTCAATGAAAAACTGACTACAAGAGTTCGACACCAGATTTAAGGAAACTGAAGAAAGGAACAGTGAACTTGAAGCTAAGACATTTGAAATTATCAGGGCTTATCTAGACTATTCAAATTCATAGAGACAGAGAGTAAGATGGTTTTTGCGAAGGCCTTGGAGAAGGAGGGAACAGGGAATTACTTTTAATGGGTACAGAGTTTTAGTTTTGCAAGTAAATGAGCTCTGGAAATGGACAGTGGTGATAGTTGTACAATAATGTAAATTTACTTAATGCTTCTAAACTGTACACTTAAAAATGGTTAAGACAGTGAATTTTATGTTAAATGCATTTTAACACAATCTTTAAAAATAAATAAAATTTAAAATGTCAAAAAAGATATTATACAGCCGGGCACGGTGGCTCTCGCCTGTAATCCCAGCACTTTGGGAGGCCGAGACGGGTGGATCACGAGGTTAAGAGATCAAGACCATCCTGGTCAACATGGTGAAACCCCGTCTCTACTAAAAATGCAAAAAAAAAATAGCTGAGCACGATGGTGCGTGCCTGTAATCCCAGCTACTCAGGAGGCTGAAGCAGGAGAATTGTCTGAACCCAGGAGGCAGAGGTTGCGGTGAGCCGAGATCATGCCATTGCACTCCAGCCTGGGTAACAAGAGCGAAACTCCGTCTCAAAAAAAAAAAAAAGATATTATTAGGTCTGAGGAGCAGAAAGTAAAAGAAAAAAATAAATAAACAGAGTCCAGAGGACCCATGGGACACCATCAAATCTATCATCACATGCATTATAGGATTTC